TTATATGCTTAGTTTAAAACTCTTTGGCCTGTCTTATATGATATGAATCAGAGGGAATTGATAAATATTCCTAAAAACACCTGGATAGATCTCCTTAGTGAATGTGAAATTGCCTGTGCAATTCTGACTGTGAAGTTTTCTGTGAAACAAGAAAATTAGAATCAAAGGAGATGTTTAATAATTTCATTTTCACTTTCTTAAGACCTTTGTCAAAATAACAGGTAACGACGTCACTGGAGAGCTCTAGCAGAAAACAGATCTTGGCAATTGGTCAGTAATTTGAGATTAATGTAATGCAAATTATGAACAAAAATTGAGAAGCATTTTATTTATTTTCAGGGAGGTTGCTAGTTTTATAGCACTTTTTTGATTTGGAGATTACTACAGTAGTAACAGAATATTATTAAGTATGTATTTCTCACCAGATAAAGAAAATTTTTTGTCCAAGTATTTGAAATGTCAGTAATATTGGATTGTGACTACTTTATGGCATAAAATAGTTTTTCTATGAATAAAGGCTCACATACGGATAAGACTTGAAAAAAATGTGAAGATTTGAAAACAAAGCTACAGAAATTAAAACTGTGTTGTACAGTCATAAATATTAACCTTCATATCAATGGCACTGAAGAGACAAGGCAGAAATAGGATTCAGTATATACTAGAATTAGTAGAGGATGAAGGTAGTATTCTAAATTACTGAATCAAAGTGTCCAATAAATTACAGAATACAAAATAAATATTTTTAAAAACAAGAGATTTCCTATATAACAAACTTTTCCAGAAAGAAAACTATCTGGCTGGGCGCGGTGGTTCATGCTTGTAATCCCAGCACTTTAGGAGGCCACAGTGGGTAGATCACCTGAGTGAGGAGTTCAAGACCAGCTTGGGCAAAATGGCAAAACTTCATCTCTACAAAAATTAGCCAGGCATGATGGCCCAGTGCCTGTAGTCCCAGCTATTTGGGAGGGTGAGGTGGGAGGATCACTGGAGCCCAGGAGGCAGAGATTGCCGTGAGCAGAGACTGTGCCATTGCACTCGAGCCTGGGCAACAGAGTGAGACCCTGTTTAAAAAAAAAAAAAAAGAATTTTCAAAAATGTTTATGTTAACTACACTTACAAAGACTAATCTTCAAAGACTTTGGCATTTTAATTTAAAAATGTTATACAGCACCATGTTTTTAAATGGTTAAAATTGGTTCCCTAAGCATTTATATAGATGACAAAGTACACATTCAAACATTACATTATTCATTTAAAATATAACTCTCAATTTTGCACTTAGTATAGAAGTATAGTATGTATTGAGCTTCATTCAACTATTCATTCAACAAATGTCTATAAAATGATTATTGTCATGTGCCATGTGCTGGATGAATACATTAAAGTCTACTAAGGGAATCAGATATTACAATGTAGCACAATAAGTTTTATTTTTTATTTTTATTTATTAATTTTTTTTTTTTTGAGATGGAGTCTTGCTCTGTTGCCTGGGCTGGAGTGCAGTGGCGCGATCTTGGCTCACTGCAACCTCTGCCTCCAGGGTTCAAGAGATGCTCCCACCTCAGCCTCCTGAGTAGCTAGGACTACAGGCGTGTGCCACCACACCCAGCTAATTTTTATACTTTTTGTAGAGATGGAGTTTTGCCATATTGGCCAGGCTGGTCTTGAACTCCTGAGCTCAAGTGATCCACCTGCCTCGGCCTCCCAAAGTGCTGGGATTACGCCCAAATATGTGAGCCACCGCTCCCTAGTTTTATAATAAGAGTATTAATGATATCTTGCACACAGGCCCTTGGAGCATCCGTAAGATTCACAGTAGAGTGGGAATTTGACCTGAATCTATCTACACCAATAAGAAAAAAATGGCATGTGGGGAAGAGATAAGGACACTGCAGATGTTAGACAGCATGTGGAAAGACACTATATGAAGTCCAGAAGGAGTAGGGAGAAGTCAAGTGTAGTTAGACGTGTACAGTTGGTTGAGGGTGCAGGATTTTGACTAAACATGAGTTCAAATTTTGGTTGTGCTACTCACTAGCTGGAGGAATTTTTGCAAGTAACTAAACCTAAGTTGCTGTCCTTTCATCTGTAAAATGGGGATAGTAACAATACCTAGATTACAGAGTTAACAGGAAGATTTAAGAGCATGTGTGGAACCTAGTATTGTGTCTAACCTACCCAGACTGAGAGCTAAATAAATGGGCCGGACACAGTGGCTTCTTCCTGTAATCCCAGCACTTTGGGAGGCTGAGGCGGGTGGATCACCTGAGGTCAGGAGTTCGAAACCAGCCTGACCAACATGGTGAAACCTCATCTCTACTAAAAATACAAAAATTAACCAGGCATGGTGGCGGGCGCCTGTAATCCCAGCTCCGGGAGGCTGAGACAGGAGAATAGCTTGAACCTGGGAAGCAGATGTTGCCATGAGCTGAGATCACGCCATTGCACTCCAACCTGGGCAACAAAGCAAGACTCCGTCTCAAAATAAATAAATGAAAATGAAAATAAATAAATTAATGGTAAATATTTTTATATTATTTATTACTACTTTATGTAAGTAATAGCAAAAAACATTTGGCTACATATTTCTGAGAATTTTTCATTCTATGGCCTTAAAATTTTTTTAATTTTTAAATTTAATTTATTATTTATTTATTTATTTTTCTTTTGGAGACAGAGTCTTACTGTGTTGCTGAGACTGATTCCTGGGCTCAAGCAATCCTCCCACTTCCGCCTTCCAAATAGCTGGGACTACAGGCATGCACCTGGCCATTCTATGGCTTTTTAAATGACAAGTGAGTGTTAATTGCCAACCTCTTTTAGATGTTCTCTAAACGAAAATGGTATTTGTTCAGGAATAGGACATTGCAATGGGAATATGTGTGCCATAGTAAACTATATGCATGTATAGGGAGGTAAAGGAAGATAAAGGTTTTTAAACGAAAAATAAAGAGGATTACAGAATTGTTTTGAAGTGATTCTCCTTCAAAGGATCCATAACAAGGATCTGTAACAAGGGTGGCATCAGTCAAGGTTGGCTGGCAGATGTCCTCACAGAAGTATTTTGTGTGTAAGGTTGTGATGATCTTTGTGCAATGTTGTGCTTTTTGTAGTCTTTTGTGATAGTGTTGGTTACGAAGCACTCATGCATGAGAACCCTCTCTTCATAGCCTTCCTCGGTTCTATTTGTCAGGATTTTGTTTGTTTTTAACACAAATGACACCATTTTGATTCTGATGACTTTCTTGTAATCATGAATTCACTTTTTCATACAGAGCCCAAGAGTATAAAAGTATCACTTCTTCCTGAGCAAAAATATGGTAAATGAGTTACCTCAGACCACATTCGCTTAGGGAATAATCTCTACCCCAGAATCAGTGGTTTATGTAACTGCCTGTTATAGAACTTGATAGTCTTAAAAGCTTTACAGAGAGCATCTATTACATGGTAAAATGTCCAAAATGTAGAAAATTTCTATGAATTCAAGCATATGCATGTGGCTTTGCAAGTATTTTAAAATCATTTGCATGAGTAATTGTCCCTCAAAAGAATAAGCTGCATTCGCGTATCTCTTTCTTTAGGTCTGTTTCTGTCTCAGCCTATTGCACTCAGGTTTCTGTTCCTTTTCACTCTTGACTCCCTGAAACGACTCTGACAAATATTGCAAATAGATACCTAATGGCCAAATCAGTGAATTTTTTTTAAGCTTTTGGTTTCCATGAATTCTCAGAATTGGACATAGTTGAACTGCCTCTTCTTTTTGAAATTCTGTCTGTACTTTGGCTTCATGATGCCACACCCACCTGGTTTTCCTCTTACATCTCTGGCCACTCTTTCTTGGTATGTTTTATTTTTTCCTCTTCTCATTACCTGCCCTTAATGTTGGGTATCTGCAGGGTTTCTGTCTTTGGCTTTCTTCTCATTCTACAAATTCTCCATGGGATGATTTCATCCTCTTTATTGCTTTCCATGAGCAGATGTATAATAATATGAGTCTCAAATTTAATCTCCATCCCTGACCTCGCTCCATTGTTTCTGACTGGCTTCTAACTCTAGTTACTAACAGAATATCTCCATCTGGCTGTCCCAGAGACACTTAAAATCACTATATCCCAAAATGAATTTAATCTCTTTTTTTTTCCAACCTGTTCTATCTCCTTCACTCTCATCTTGGTGACTGGCTCCCCTATCCATACATGCACAACCCAGAGAGCTGGGAGTTATCCTGGCTTCTTTTCTTTCCTTAGCCAAATGCCCTCCCCATATTCAATCGGTGTCCAAGTCCTGTTGATTCTATTTCGTGAACATGTTTTGGCCTCTTCTGTCCATCCCCATTACTCCCAGCAACTCACATCTTGACTATTGCAATAGTATCCTAACCAGTCTCCTTGCCTTCACTTTTAGTCGATCAAGTTGTTTCATTTCACTGGTAAAACTTCTCTGGTAGCTTTTCACTGAATATGTGCTAAAACCCAACTTCCCTGCATGGTGTTCCATATTCTTGATGATCTGGCTTCAGCGAATTTTTGAGTCTTGTTTTTTTTTTCCACCCCTCCTTTTCTGTCCACAGGATTGCATGCTGTTGGGAAGCTTTTCCTCAGCGGCTGACTGCAGAGCTGTTTATGAACCCCACACACAGGCAGAATCACTCAGTTCTGGGCCTACGTCCATAGCTGCGTTCTCTCACAGGTTTCCATCATGGCTCCCATCATCTTTTATTAAACTTATTTGTTTATATGCACACTTCAGCCTATTTCTCTGGCATCTCATAGTATTTAAAATAATTTTTGGCATAAATATCAGTATCAATAGATATAGATCAAGCACTTCCTTAAGGAATTCCTCAAGAAACTTCCTCTAAGAACTTCCTCAAGGAACCTGGAAAATGAGAACAACTCCCATCTCTTTGATAATTCCTCAAACTGTTCTATCTCTAGCATGTAATAAACATTGTCTCACTGTGGGATAATTAAGGAATCAGAGAGACCGAGGGGTTGAGGAGGAATTATTTAATTATTTAGGTGCACCAACCCCGTCAGATTAACATCCAAAGGACTGAGCCTCGAACAAAGAGTCAAGCTACCTTTTAAGCATTTTGTGGGACGGGGGAGATCTGTGCAGGGGAAAGCAGATTACAGAAGCGAGAAACAAAGACAGTTATTCAGTTGAGACATGCATTACATTATTTCTTACTTTTCAAGGAACAACATGTTTTATGACTTGAGATTATCTGTCTAGTGACCTTGCAGCTGCACAGCTAGAGAAACAGTCTTCACAATGCCTGGGAAAGGGAGAGACAAGGTCACTAGCCACAGAAAAATAGGCAGTTAATTTTAAAGGACTCCTGTTCTTTCTCTTCTTCAGGGGGAATTGGGTTTTCTTACATACAATTGAGTTTTTGCTTACACATTCTTTAATTTCTTTTAATTCCTGTTTCAGTCTGACTGAAAATAGAGGAGCTACCTGGTTGCACACAGTACTGATTCCCACCCAATGTGTTTCTATGTTCTTTGAAAGACAGTGTAATTGTGACTTAGTTGAATTAAATTGATGTGCTCTCCACAATCATCCCATAAAATATTCACTATCATTATCACTGTCATTATAATCTGGCTCATAGGCCAGATTAAGATGGTCAAATAGGTTAGTTTGTTAAACCAATTTAAAACACACAGTCTTAGCTTTGTACAGTGGAAATATGGTAGCCAATGAGGTTTATCCTACATTATTGCTAATTGAAAACTTTTTCCAATACTGGCTCACAGGCCAGATTAAGATGGCCTATCATTATAGTCTGGCTCATAGGCCAGATTAAGATGGTCAAATAAGTTAGTTTGTTAAATCAATTTAAAACACACAGTCTTAGCTTTGTACAGTGGAAATATGGTAGCCAGTGAGGTTTATCCTACATTATTGCTAATTGAAAACTTTTTCCAATACCCTGCCATGACAACTTGCTAGATAGTCAGCATTGGCAATTTTTGACAGTCACTATGGAGACTGAATTGTTTTAGAAAAAAGCAGGAAGCAAGGGGAAAGAGATTGGGTAGGTGAACACATTTAGATCAGGCAGGTGAAAGGACCACACTACTGTGGGTCACTCAGTGTTCATATGTTCTGCCTCTTCTGCCTTCTCCAAAGATGGCATGGTTACAAGAACCAGAGTGTAGGTAAGAATGTTCAGAGATGGAAGGTTCAGGATGCCAATCTACGCTTGCTCTATCAAAAAGACTGAGGTTGCTGGGTGCTGGGGCTCACAACTATAATTCAAACACTTAGGAAAATTGAAGCAGGCAGAGTGCTTGAGCCCAGGAGTTCAAGAACAGCCTGGGCAACATGGTGAGATCACGTCTCTACAAAAAAATTAAAAAAAAATTAGCCGGGCATAATGGTGCATGCCTGTAGTCCCAGCTACCCAGGAGGATGAGGTGGGGGGATCACCTGAGCCCCAGAGGTTGAGGCTGCAGTGAGCAGGCAATGAGCCATGATCGTGCCACTGCACTCCAGCCTGGGTGACAGAGCAAGATCCTATCCCCAAACAATAAAAATAATAAAAAGACAGAGGCAGGTATGTGTGGCTACACCTATAGCTCAGCAATGACCTTATGAGCAGCAATATACATTTTAAGCACAAAACAAATGGGTTAGAATGAATGATACCAATGGGTGGTCAATTTGAGGTAGACCAGACTGATTCATGCTTTATGAATATTTAAGGTTTATTTTGCTTTCCATCTCTATCTACAAGTAACACTCTTGTTTGTTTTGTCCTTTTAACATATGTTTAAGAAGTAAATGTCTATTTATTCTATGTTTAACATGTTTCATGTGTTAATGATGTACTTATTATCTGTACTTAACATATGAGTTGATGTAACATATACTTACAGGTAAGTTTCATCTATCCCATTTGTTTCTCCTATTCTTTAGGGCAGAATTGAAAATTCTTAAATAATACAGCAAATGTATGTTACATTATGGATAAAAATCTGAGGCACAGGGCCAGTAAGTCCCTTCCACAAAGTCCCCGCCACTTTTCCAAGGGCATGAAAAAAAGTCAGGTTTCAAATATAAAACATCTGGCTCCAGAGCCCTTTTTTTTAGTGACAGGGTCTTGCTCTGCTGCCAGGCTGGAGTGCAATGGCATGATCATGGTTCACTGCAGCCTTGACTTCCTGGGCTCAAGGTTCAAGTGATCCTCCTTGCCTTTGACCTCCCAAAGTACTGAGATTATAGGTCTGAGCCACCATGCCTGGCCTAAGAGCCCACTTCTTAATCACCATCCTAAACTGATTCCTAATTTGCCTAAGAAAACACAGCTGCTAAGTCTGACCTTAAGTCCAGTGCTGTTCATGCTAATTACTCTTTGTGTATAAGTACTCTCGGGCCAGGAGATCTGTCTTGTTCATCTCTGCATTTTTACCACCAAGCACAGAGCCCGGGCAAATACTTGTTGACCAAGAGAATATCTCATTTTATAACTTTTGTTTTTCTTTTGGGTTATGTTAGATGTGTGGAATAATTCCAATTTAACATTTAAGAAAATTTAACCTTTGGCATTTAAAGTTAAATTACCTTAGGTATTTGATTTAAAACTGATTAACCCAAAGAAATATCTAGTTGCTACAGAATAAAAGATAAGGATCTGTGAACTGAGATCTAGCATTGATTGTGAAACTGATCCTTTTAAAGGGCTTCTCTGCTTCACTTTCTCTAGTAGGAAAATGGTCCTAGTAACTCTTATCTACTCCCTTCACCAGCAATTGTTACATTGTCCATTCTTCCTATTACTAGCATATCTTTAAAAAACGGCTTCTGCTTTATCAGTTAGATATTATTAAAAGATGTAAGTCTGTCTATAAATTCATAAAATCAATGAACCATAAACATATTTACATATTAAAAATAACATATTTTTATATCCTTTTAAAAGACAGATTTTATGCTACATTTGGACATGTTGAACATCCTGTAATTTGGTAAATATCCTACAATTTTCCTCATTCATTTGACTTTTGTGAGAGAAAACAATTAGCCTTCTGAAAGAAGTTAACATACATTATATGCTAGTAAAATATTTTAATGCCTCATCTGTTCCACATTTTTTTATATGTTTATTGGCATGTTTATTTCCCCGCTTACGAAAATATTGTTTCTCTGTAGGAAGTTGGCAGTAATCTCAATAGATACATGACTAGAACTCAACGTAATGGGTGATTAATCCTGGCTACCCATCAGAATCACCTGGGACATGTAAAAAAACAAAACTGATGCCCCGGGCCTACCTCAAACAAACAATTTAAGTCAGTATTTCTAGGGCTGGAATTGGGACATCTCTATTTTAAAGAACTTCTCAGATATTCTACAAAATACTTGACCAGCACTCTTCAAAACTGCCAAGGTCATCATAAACAAGGAATGTCTAAAAAACTGCCACAGATCAGAGGAGGTAAAGGAGACATGATAACTAAATGTTATGTGGTACCCTAAGTGAGATCCTGGAATAGAGAAATAATATTAGGGGAAAAGTACTGAAATCCAAGTAAACTGTGGAGTTTAGTTAATAGTAATGTAACATTGATTGTTGTTCCTTAGTTGTAACAAATGTATCATCTTACACAAAAACAAATGTCAATATCTCACGCAATAGAGAAACTGGGTATATGGGAACTGTCTACTATTTTTGTGACTTTTCTGTAAATAGAAAGCTATTCTTTAAAAAAGTTTATGTAGAACATCTGATTATATGCTAAAGAGTAAAAGATAAAGATCTATGAACTGAGATCTAGCATCCTTTGTGAAACCGACCCTTTAAAAGGGCTTGTTTCTCTGTGCTTCACTTTCTCTAGTAGGGTTGAAAATCACTTATATAGTAATCTGCTTACAGTGTACCAGAAAACAAAAAGACCCTGTGAAATACTGAGCCCAATTGTCAATTGTTGGCATGTGCGTTCTTAAAAATTTGACACTTAGAAACCATGGGCTGCTTCATTAGGACTTTTAGGGAAATTACATTTCTACCGGCAGTCCCAGGGCAACACAAATAGACCAATGACAATACACTTAACTATAACAATCACAATCCTGATAATTACTGGCTTCCAAAATACAACAATTCGAGAAAGACTGCTTAGTAGAGAAGAAAAGGTAACAATAAATTTCTTAGTTTAGAAGCATAAGGTTCATTTTAATATCTATGAAAAATATAAATATGTGGATTAAATATAATGTCTAACGTTTTCTCAGACCCCAGTAGTTTGAGAAAAGACTACCTGGATTTAGCTGGTCACATCTCTCTTTTCAAAACCGTTGCCATTAAGCATATTTGTCATCTGTGCAAATTTCTAGAGAAAAGTCAGAATTGTTTTTGAAGAAATCACTCTGCACAAGTAAACACTTGCCAAACAGCAAGTGCCAGGAGACGGTGTTTCACAAAGCTCTTTTTAAAAATTATTATTTTTTGCACACATTATCTAGTTTGGTAAAACTGTCACCAATTTACAATCCGGAATCACCATGTGAGTCAAATTAACAAATGTATTAGCAACTTGTAGTCAATCAGATTGTAGTTCCAGCTCCCTAACTCAATGCAATTTTAATAATTTCTCTTCTCTGAGTCTATCTCAGTTTCTCATCTGTAAAATGAGTAAAAGAAAGCCCTTTGCAGTTCAGACGTTGAGATTCGGTGGGAAGGACCTCGAGAAATAGAGTGGAGAATTTCAGGATTTAGGGCTTTAGGTCTTGATGGGTGGGATGGTACGGTGGAAGCTGTTTACTTGTTTGTGTTTCTAGAATCAGAAGGTAAAGCGAGAGGGACAGAAACGAGCGAATGGAAGTAGGACAGACACCGGACAGAGATCAACTCGGGACTTTTCTAGACCTGCGGGGCCGGCAGAGCATTCGGTTGCTAGGCAACTGCGCCTCCTGGGAGGGCGGAGGACCCCCCCCCCCAGGGGCAGGTGTCTAAGTCACTACCTTTTTGTTTAGCCGCGGTGGTTTCTTCTCAAAATTAATGAAACCTGTAGCCTTTAAAAGTACACAATTTTTTGCAACCAAGTTTAGTCAAGCCCTGTAGCCGAGTTCTGCTTGCGGTGGTTTTTCTTTTTCCTGTTCTCAGGCGCGCTGCAGACACCTCTCGGGCAAGGCCCCAGCCGTCGCGGGTTGCCGGGCAGAGCCTGACGCCGCCAGCTCCTCGCTCCCCGCCCACCGCTCTCCTAGAGCGCTGGGCCTTCGCTGGCCGCACCGGCAGTCATGGGCTCGGAGATGGAGCCGCTGCTCCTGGCCTGGAGCTATTTTAGGCGCAGGAAGTTCCAGCTCTGCGCCGATCTGTGCACGCAGATGCTGGAGAAGTCCCCTTATGACCAGGTACCGGCCAGCTCCCGTCAGCCTGTGCATCCTGACGCTGAGGCTGCGGGGTCTGGGGCATATTCCGGCCCCGGGTGGGGAGGCCGGGGAGGAAGGCCCGAGGCGGGGCTGACCGTTCGGCCCTCGGAGGCGCCCGGAGCGAGACCTTGTGGAGCTGTGGCTAGCTCGTCCGCTGTCCACCACGCCCACAGGGATAGCAAGTTCTGTGCCATGACCGCCCCCTCCTCACAATCTTCAGCCTCCCCTCCACTACGTGTCCTGGAGTGAGAGCCCTGAATTTTACTTTGACGAGGAACTTTGATAATTCATTTATACTTGCATATTGATGGGCTTTAAACTCTCAGCGTGTGCGTTATTAATTTCTAAACAATATGCATAAACGAAGATCTGTGACTCTCCACCTCCTGTTAACATAGCTGCATTTTTCCTTTTGGATCGAACATGTGATCCTCCCACTTCAGCTTTAGACTGTTGTCCAAGAGTGAAGGAGGCCATCAGTTTAGCTTGAGGCAAATATTGCAAGTTAGAGGAATGAGAATCTAGGAGGGAGAAAGATACATTCATTATTTAAAAAATTACCTGGACAAGGGAAGCTATAATTGTAGGAGGAAGAAATGGGAAAGAAAGGCTCCTTACAAGAAGGAATGATGGCATTGATAAAAAGAGAACTTAAATAAACTAATGTGTATAGCGACTGGAAAAGGTGGTATACAATGTACGTGAGTGGTACAATTCTGGTGGGCAGGTAGCTCCTGGAATAGGCAAAAAAGGAGAAAATGGGAGAACAGAAGTAGCACTGTGGCAGTTTGTCAGTGCTTTTAGTAAATGCGGAATATACTTACATAGTTCTAGTTCCCTAGCTTTTCCTCTAGTGGTGTTGCCTTGGAGATGTTAGAAAAAAATGGAAAATTGAAGGGAGTTACAAAAGCGGAGGCCTGAGTGTGAATGCTGTTACTAGGCTCTGCCTTAGCTCCCAGCAAATGGATGATGGATGATAACCTGCTGAGATGAATATTTTGTCCTTCAGATAGTACATCTCTCTTAGAACAGCCTACGTTAGTGGTAATGCAAAGCTAGGTTCTGTTGTTAGTTCGCATCAGTTAATAGGACTATGTTTCTGTAGACAAGCATTTTTCCAAGTGTTTTTTTTTTTTTTTTTTTTTTTTTTTTCTGAGATGGAGTCTCGCTCTGTCACCCAGGCTGGAGTGCAGCGGCGTGATCTCGGATATCTGTAACCTCCGCCTCCTGGGTTCAAGCGATTCTCCTGCCTCAGACTCCCAAGTAGCTGGGACTACAGGTGCGTGCCACCACTCCCGGCTAAGTTTTTGTATTTTTAGTAGAGATGGGGTTTCACCGTGTTAGCCAGGGTGGTCTCGAACTCCTGACCTCGTGATCCGTCCGCCTAGGCCTCCCAAAGGGTTGGGATTACAGGTGTGAGCCACCGCGCCCGTCCCCCAAGTGTGTTTTTTGGCATAGTAATCTCATAGATATTGCTTTAAAAAATACACAATCAAATATGTTTGGTAATCGTGACAAAATATTGATCCCTTTACGTTGGTACAATGGAAACTTAAGAACCTTTGATGTGGCTGGGCGCGGTGGCTCACGCCTGTAATCCTAGCACTTTGGGAGGCCGAGGTGGGCGGATCACGAGGTCAGGAATCTGATCGAGACCATCCTGGCTAACATGGTGAAACCCCGTCTCTACTAAAAATACAAAAAAAATTAGCCAGGCCTGGTGGCGGGCGCCTGTAGTCCTAGCTACAGGCTGAGGTAGGAGAATGGAGTGAACCCAAGAGGCGGAGCTTGCAGTCAGCCGAGATCGCGCCACTGCACTGCAGCCTGGGCGACAGAGCAAGACGCGTCTCAAAAAAGAAACTTTGATGTGCCAGACATTGTTCTAGGCATAACGGTTTGCAGGAACTTTATGTGCTGTTTTCATTTTTCCATTGAGTTCGGGTAGTTTTCATTCTGTGTTCCACAAAACAGTAGTCCCAAGAGCTGTTCAGTGAGAAAAAGTTTCCTCATTAAATACATTTGGGAAATGTGTGTTCCTTCTTGGAGATTCAGGATGTACCGTAAAGGCTCTGAGTAGTTTTGAAGAAAAGGAAACTAGTTTTGCCTATTTTTGATTAATGCAAATAATTAAATAGTTCTGAAACTTATTTGACCACCGGATTCCTTTTTTTTTTTTTGGCCCAGGGAAAGGGTCAAATATCTTCACTGTTATCGTGGGAAGATGTTGGTACATTGGGAAATGTAGGCGAAGCAGCAGTATTTTTATTAATAGTTTAAGACCCTCTAATCTTGAGTTCATAGTGACATTCAGTATTGCACCAATGAATTGAGATATCAGGACTTTATATGTATTCATCTCAATGACCTTTCCTTGAGTGCTTACTACAGATTGTGTATCTCTTATTCGATATGTGACCAGACCTGAATAGAAATTTC